TCTGTCTACCTTTCTTTCCTTCTTACAGAGTTACTGGTTGGGGGGCTCTGGGGCTCTGGGGCTGGCCTCTGGTGTCCTCCTGTCCTTCTCCTTCTCTCACTGCTCACCTTATTTCTTCTGCTATCTCTTCTCTCTGCCTGGCAGCCCCGCCTATCGCTCTCCCGCCTAGCCATCGGCGGTTCAGCTCTTTATTCGAGCAGTCCGGAGTGTTGGGCCAGCAAAATGACAATTGCAACAGAGAAGAATGCAGCACAGCTCTGCTGCACCGTTACACACCTACTTTACAGCATGAACGAATGAAATGCATAGAGAACTAATATCCCACAACAAAGGACTTTAGAGATGCTGCTCCCGCCCTTTTACCATTCAAACCTTCATCGTTCAGTCTCCTCAAATCACCCAGAGTCTCCTTCAAGGTTCTAAGCATCTCTAGGATATCCAAAAGCCCTCATCAATTCCGTTGTCCCTTCACCGTGTTACCTATGGGCTTCTGTAAATTCCAATGTCGAAAACAAAGAAATAAAAAGCCAAAAACCCAAAAAGTGATTGGGTTCCTCTGGTTTTATTTTTTTAAGTAAAACTCTGGTTTTGCCGAGGGAGGAAAGAAGAGTCGGGCGCGATCGCGTTCAAGGGAAAGCAAAAGCAAAGTCGCCACGGTCAGTGCCTCCTGACATGTCCTGTTCCCTAGCTGTCCTGTGGGTGACAGAGGGCGCGGACAGTCCCACTCCCACAGCTCTGCCATCCACAGCACGTGCAGTTTGTCTCCCAGGCCGACGCTGGCTCTGTCCTCAGGCTGCAGCTCCCCTTGGTGTTTGTCCCATGAAACAGGCATCCCCGAGACCCTCGCCTTGGCCGGTGACAGCCCCTGCCGGGCTCTCTTCGGGGACTCTGAGCCTGCCGAGTGGATGGTGGTGCCAAGCCTCGGCCCGCTCCCCACGACCCACGCCTTCCCTTGCACTGCGCCTTCACTGGTGTCCCCTCTCAGCCTCTCTTGGGGCACTCCGGACCCAACACCCATCTCCAAGCGTCTGCTGCTCTCTGCTGACTCCCGCACCTATTCAGAGCTGCCTGGCTCCGCGTGAGCTTCATTCTCTGCAGGCGACCTCGAGGAAGCACCCCCAGGGGGTTTCACCCCAGCGAGGCTGCTCTGGCCTCCATCATCATCGCTGGCCTCTCGACTCCACTCGAGCCCCACCGAGGATCGTCCCTGCACAGCCAAAGTTTCACCTTGGTGCCTCCCCTCTTCGGCTCGTTCATCACACATGCTTCCTCAGCCTCAGCCTCAGCGAGCTGGGCCACAGACTCTCCTTTCACAACACCGAATGGCCCCAACCCAGTCTCTCGGGGACTTCCCAGCTGCCCTCTGCAGGGTCGCGAGTAGGAGCCAGGCCTCCGTCGTCTGCATTGCTCCCCACGTTCTCTTCCAAGCTCCCCGAGAGGAGCAGCGCAGCCAGCTTGGAGCATTCAGCCTCTTTGCCCCCACCTCCACTCCCGACAAAGGTCTTCGGCAATCTTCCCGAGAGCACCGCCACAGCAACACCCCACTCCTGGTAGCCATTTCGATACGAGTTAGGGTGTGTCTTGTTGTGGTCCAACACCAGGGACAAAGGCAACTTGGGAGGAGAGCAGTTTGGGTCTCCTTCAGGTTCCTGAGTCCCCGGCGGAGGGAATCCCCGGTAGGAGGAACCCGGAGGCAGGATCTGATGCAGTCGGTAGCTGTCGGTGGGAGAGTGCGCACTACTGGCTTGCTCAGCCGGCTGTCCAACACAACTCGGAGCCCCCTGCCCAGGCAGGGTTGGCACGCCCCTGGCCTGGCCGCAACTCTCCCCTCAGCCCGACCCACACCCCTACTCTCACCCCTACACAGCACCCCCACCCCAACGCCATCCCTGCCCGTGGTGTGCTGTCGCGCAGCGATCACTCATCATCGCAGGCACACGCTGTAGAGACGTTGTCTCCATTCAGAATCCCTCTCCCTACTGGTGCCAAGTTGACACGACCCAACTGTCACAGCGCCGAACGCGGATCCCTGCAGTTGGCACTGGCAAGCAACGATCGGGGCCCGCTTTGACCCCTGCTAGCAGAGGCTTGCCCAGGGTGTTTCCCAGGGCCTATTCTCCGAGCCGCACGGCTGGCCCGGGGCCGGACAGACTGTCGGACGGACGGACGGACGGACGGACGGACGGACAGACAGACTCTCCGCAGAAATCTGCTTCACACTGCTCTCTCTCCTCTCCCGGAGCAGGGGAGGGGTAGAGCCAGGTCGGGGAAAGGCACCGTGTACGCTCCCACTATGCCAGCGGTCATCGCTCAACCATCTGTCTCTGTGCCCAGGACTGCCTGTCAGGGTCCGGACCCAGGGGAACCGCCAGTAGACCCAACCGGTGCGCAAAGGTTCTGCTCCACTTTCCCGACTCAGGCTGGCGCTGGCAACCTCTCCCCCGTCCCCGCCCCCGCCCCGCCCCCCAACGACCCGCAGAAACCGTGGCGTTACAGATGCCAGGCTTCAAAACGGAGATAGCTTCTGTCAGCAATGCTGCTAGGCCTGTGTGTTGAGTTGCCTGCGCGCAACTCTGGACCATATCACCTTCACTAAGGACTCTTAGCCCAGGGAATAAAGCTGTGCGTTGTATTTGGTGTGTTCCTCTGGGCCTCTCTGAGGCCTGCTCACGTGGTTTAGGAGGTATGCTTGTACAAATGACAAAGCTTGT